CCTAGCACTGAACCCTGTGGAACTCCATAATTAACCTCAGTGTGTGAAGAGGACTCTCCATTTACATGCACAAACTGGAGTCTATTAGATAGATATGACAAGCTGAAAGTGCTCAGGTGCCACATTACACAAGAACTGGACTGAAAATCAGCAGCCACGGGTCTGATGCTTCGAGTGGTTGTTAATATGCACGGACGAGGTCAAAACACGGTGGAGGCTCAGTCACGGCTCAAGCCAGACGTCAGCATTTACTGAGCACAGAACAAAAGGCAGCCAGAGAAGAGCTTTGAATGTCCTCCTAGAAATATTCCTGAAGACTCCACAAAGAAACTTTTCCCAAGGTGGTCGTCCCAAATACTGACTGACAGTAAAGTACAAACTCTGTTTTTGCTTTCATGCTGTATTTCCATGTATGTTTGCACGTTTTAATGCATCGCCATGCCTGTATTTCACATTTTCCTAGCAAAATATAAAGAAATGAGGGATGGTTTGAGATTTTTGCAGAAGCAGCTTGTTAATCACTCGCTGATAAGATTACCAGATGATAAGACGGGGACACGTATGTCTTTGCATCACAAAGACATACAGCTTAGGAAACAGTTTATTATGTTGGACTGCAGTAAAGCACAGGCAGCTCTATTTGGCAGCATGAAGCTGCTGTTTTACATTACGCCTAATGTAAGCTACAGAAAGAGTTTCTCACTGTAATAAAAAAATGTTTTAAATCTGACAAATGCTGACTTCCTCAGGCCGGTACACTATTTTATGCCTAATAACTGACATCTTCAGGATTTCAAATGACGAAAGGAAGAAAAAAATTGAAAAAATATGACCAAAAATAATTTGCATAAAGTCAAGATTTCAGATGAGTTAAGCACAAGTTTGAAATAACTAGACAAAGACAGCATATAACTGGCAAAAAACCCAAAACAACAACTATAGATTCATGCACAAGAATTCCAGGTTCATACAGAAACCACAGCTGCAGTGTGGTGTGTGCAGGTAATGAAATAACTGCACCCAGAATGCACTTCTGCTTCATAGGAAGGAAAGAAAACGCAGCATACGACAACACATTATTCCTGATTTTCTAGTCAACCATGCGGTTTAAGCTATAGCGACCTAGTGCGAAGGAACTCAACGTCTGATTCAGGATCAGAAAAATCGAACAGGAGACGTCGAAACAAAGAGGAAACAGTCGGTGGAAACACGCATGCTATATTTAATAGGAGAGAACACCCTGACTGGGTGCCATACAGAAATGTCTTTGCTGATAAATACACCCTCAGTTCTGTTATCGCCAAATGAAAATAGTGAAAGGAAGCACTCTGATGGAAAAGTGCCCCACCCTCCACGCCAGCTACACCACGACTGTTTTGCAGACCAAACCCTGCTGCCTCTTTGAAGCAAAGAGATTTTTACATGCGGTGATTCTTCAGTATGAAATATATGAGTTATGAAGAAGCTCTGATGGGCCGTATCGGTGCCTCTCTTCTCCTGTGTGCAGTCTGGGAGCACAAATACAGACACTTCTAACTTTGAGGCAACAATTTGGGAAGCAGGAACAACGTGACCTCAAATCTGTCCGACACATTTTAAATGAAGTTGAGTATCAGCTGTGAGCCAGGTCTTACCAACCATCAGATGAGGTGTGTGTGTGTATGTGTGTATATATATATATATATATACATATATATACATACACACACACACACACACACACACACACACACACACACACACATACATATATATATATATATATATATATATATATATATATATAAATAAATATATATATATATATATATATATATATATATATATATATATATATTATATATATATATATATATATATATATATATATATATATATATATACACACACACGTGTGTGTGTGTGTAGCAGAAAATCGAAACTATGAGCTAAGAAGGCCCGGGGCAGAAGAAGGTAGATAATCCTGTATGGTTTTACTGTGGCAGGCAGCTCCTTTCACATCACACAAAGACATTCAATCCTTGTTAATAAAAAAAAATGGTAATTAAGTTCAGGTTTAAAGAACTGACTTCCTGTGACTGTGGAAAACTAACTCTCTGAGGGAAAATGGCACGCCAGGGTTTATGGGGTGGGCTATTTAGGGGAAGCAGTGTGGCAAACTATCAGAGACCGAGGGATATGAGGGGGTCAAAGGTTACGTTTAGGAAATACACAATCATATCCTTGTTCTGGGTGATGAAACACGCACACTTAGGGATTTTTATTCTTTGCCTTTAGAAGGACTTCTAGTAGACGGGCTCGTGCCAGAGCACAGCGGGATTTGAGTTCTGGGTTAAAGCTCAGTCGGTCCCGACCTGCAGGCCTGGACTCGGAGCGACAGCCAGTTCGTACCATCCAACTTTATCTCGTGTGCACATACTGAATTATACACAAATACAATAACGCAAAAATATAGTTTCAGGCATCTAATGACATATTCAAATCGTGTTTAACAGTGTTGGGTAAGTTACTTTAAAATAGTAACTTAGTTACATTACTAGTTACTTCTCTCAAAAGTAACTCAGTTACTTCAAGTTACTCGTTACTTTCAAAGTAACTAGTTACTAGGGAAAGTAACTTTGGTTTTACTCAGAATTCTCTTGTTAATGTGTTGCTTCCATAACTTTGCAGTCTTCTAGCTTGCTTACTTGCCACAGTGCACTGTGCCACCTACCAATAGAAAGGAAAAGATAATGTGCATATTTCCACGAGAGAAACCCCACGCCTGGACCGTCATTGACTGCTGCCATGATTCTAGCCTACGTCACAGCGTCATGTGCGCCTTTTACATGCAACACAAAAACTGCAGTCGTGGTGCTTTTGATTGTACTCAGAACTCAGAAATTCTGCCTTCTGAATAGGAAGATGTAGGTAACACCAGACTGCAGATGAGCTGCATACAGGGCTGGACTGGGACAGAAAATTGGCCCGGGCATTTTGACTAGAGACCGGCCGCCATTATAGGAAAAATCATAAAGCCTTTGAATGATAATAAACACTGTTGTGACAGTGATGTTCACTGTTTTGATGGTATATATGCATCAATCTATCAATCGTTTGTTGTAAGATTCAGATAATTATTTATTAAAAGCGAGACATTTTAAATGAGAATAAGAAAGAAAAGTATTTCTTTGTGCCCCCCTCTCCCTGTTAATGCCCTACCTGCCCCCCTGGCAACACTTTGCTAGAGCCGTCCCTGCACAGTTACCAGCTGTCAGCTGCTTAGAAAAGGATCCTGGTGTTATTTGTCTCTCAGAAACAGTTCATAACTTCAACTCATTCATGTCACCTAAAAGGTAAACCTGTTTCTCCATCACCTGTTCAGCTCTGATGATCCAGTAAGGACATCTCCTGGTTTCATCTTCATGTTTCCCTCTCACCACATATCCAAACCGACATCATGACCAGCAGCTTTTTTTACAGCTGTGGCTCCAGCAAACATCAGCTGATACTAGAAATTAATATTAAATAAATTCTAACAACAGCTGATCAAGCTTAAACGTGCTGCTGTTGTTTAGCGCGACATCCGCTGGTTTCTTCTTTCGGAGCAAAGTGAGCGATAAATAAACAAGAGAGACGATCAGCTGATCATTGATCAGTTTCATGATTGAAGTAGAAACGGGAGAGGGAGGGGGGAGAATGAAAGAAGAAGAGGCAGCTGTGCAGCGTAAACACAGAATAACTCCAGCTTTGTGTCTTTTCCATTGTAGCTGAATTACGGGACAAACTGTTCCTTTTCACCTCAATAAGAAACGCGTAATATTTTCTCTGAATACCAGACGGGACGGTTGGCAACTCTAATAACTTATGAACAAAATAAAGTTCAACATCAGTAACATCATAGCACCACCCAGCTGTATAGAAACTCCGTCATGCTAGCTAGCACGCAGCACGGAAAAAGTCAGAATAACGAAAATAAACTCCACCTAAACTTGGTTTATATCTGACCCAGAGAGACTGCAGGTCATAACTTCTTACCTGAAGTTCAGTTCACACTTGGACCGGCGGCCGCCTCGGGTCTCTCCTCTTGCCTCCCTTTTCCTTCATCCACCTGCTGGCTTCCACCACTTGCTAATGTTACTGAATCTGTGGAAGCTCCGCGATGCCACCACTAGAAGTAACGAGTAACGACCCTATCTAAATCCCAGTAACGACTAACGCGTTCCTGGTTTTGGCATAATAACTAGTTACCGTGCTCGTTACCACAATAATAACGTAGTTACTGTAACGCGTTACTTAATAACGCGTTAGTCCCAACACTGGTGTTTAAGTTATTTTATTCTAAACTTGGGTAGCAGCGAGAGTTTCCCCTTTTTTCTTCTGTTTAACTGAAATGAAAAACAGATCCCAGCGTGGGCACCTCGACCGTAAAACACATTAAAGTGGCACAAAAGCCTGGATCACAGAAAATAAACCAGTGATGCTTTCCCACTATTAAAAAATAGGATTGCCTGTTTAATTCAAACCCAGATCTCAGACACTGATTCGGGGGAAAAGGATCATTTTATGAACAAACCCTTTCTCAGCTCAGTCAAAGAATTTCATGATAATGTTTTGATATTTAAATAATACATATACCTTGTTGTACAAACACTGTATATAAAGGATGGACATAGACAGTGATGTCACCAGTTGGTTTGTGAAGTCTCATTATGAAGGTGGATACTTTTTAACCCTAAATGAGATGATCATTTAGAAATTCAACATCACTTTGTAATAGCGAATCTTTGAACTAACAATTGAAACAATAAAAGCACTTTTTTATTTTTTTTATTTTACTGAGCCCAAACATTTGGGATTCAAGGTCCTTTACGACATCATAGGAACCCTTTCGGTAACCAGAGGAGTCGCCCCCTGCTGGCCTATAGAGAGAATGCAGGTTTCATGGCTTTACTTTTTAGAAACAAGACCAGAGGCGAGGCCACATCCATCTTTTATATACAGGCTATGGGTTGTCTCACCTTGTGACTGAGCAAACTCATCTTTGTGACCTCCTGCGACCTGGGTGGCAACCATGACGACAATGAAAGTGCAGACCAGACCAGTCCTCCATAGCATCTCCATGGTTACTACAGTAGTTGCTATAGTAACAAAATTCAGTGCAGTGGTCCCCGTGCCTCTGTTCCAACATGTCTCCTGCCCTCTCGGATGCCCCGTTGCCTAGCAGAGGGACAGCTCAGCGCTCTGCTGGGCCATGGCTGCAAAAGATCGGAGAGCCAGCAGCGTCTTCGGCGTTTTGTCAGCAAGAGGTGATGGACCTTGAAGAAGTCCTCACAGAAGTGGAAAACACCTAGACGGGTTTCTCAAGGGGCTCAGCGGCAGTGGTGGCTTCACACCCCTCTCCGTTTGCCTGCAGAAGAGAAGCTGTTTAGTGACTGCAGGAGGAAGGCCAGGAAAGGGTTTGAAAGGGTGGGGAAAGACAAACTTAAGCTCAAAGACGAAGGAGGAACAAGGGAGACACAGTAAAACACAGACAGAGGGAGAGCATGAGATCCCAATGACCCATGCAGTTCCCAGTCTAACAAGGCAAATCTACCCAGTTCATATTCAAGGACTGCCCAGTCCTCCATTGTTCCTTGTGATAATCAATCTTGGCTTTAGTAAGGGTAAGTACCCAGTCTTTCACTCTGGTGACCAGCGATAACAATAGGTCCCAACCTGGGGCCTCTGAGGACCCACACTTTAAGCTGACTGTCCACCGGAAAGAGTTCAAACACAAAGGAGGCCATTGATCTCGTAGAAAGCTGTGCTCGGTGCCCAAACGGGGCTAGGAGTGGGTATTATGTCAGAGGGTCTGAGGGTAAAATGAGCCAATTTGAGAGACGCAGCAGGTTGCCATCACCGCTACCCTGCCTGACTCTGCAACCTGCATGGCTGAGCGACCCACTGGCTGGTATCCAGCTTACTAACTGGCCAACTAACTAGCAGACCGATGGTGTGAGTGCCTATACATCAACCAGTGTTGATATTTGGAGCACAACACGGACAGATAATATCGCCTTTTTCTGAATCCGAGGCCCCTAGTTTAAGAAAATAAATGAATAAATAATAAAAATACAGGAGCAACAATAAGACTTCAAAAACAAACATTCAAATTTGATGATTTCTTGCTTCCCTCACCACCAGCCCGTTGTGGCAGACAGCCGCCCCACAGTAGGATAAGCAGCCCACATTTCTTTAGGTTGTAGACTTCAGCTTCAGCCAAAGCTGACAAAAGACCTAATGCTGGTGTTTCATGTGGCCTGTGCACAGCAGTGGTACTTAACAAGGCTTAAACCTTTAATTACAGCAAATGAAAGAAGGCACAACAGGAAATAAAGGACATGATTTGCACAGTAGTGAACAAAGCCAGTTCTGAGTCAGCAGATGACAGCTAGTGTTTTACCCTGACAGATGTGACTCTATGAACAGAAAGCTTTTAAGACCGTATGCAGGTAAAAGTTCAGCATCACAAATTTCTTTCTTGTGTCGTTCTTTTCCACACCACTAATTTAGCCGTCGAGTGCTATAAATAATCCTCAGGCTCTTTTTTTATTATTTTTGTGTCCTTTGAGACAAACATGCAGCAAGATTATAATAACAATGGAAAAACGACTTCCTCATCCACACAGTACCCATTACAAAAACAAGAGCGGAGCCAGGAATCGGCAGTCACAGTTTCATGGGTGCCCTTCTCTCTCTTTTGACTTGAGTTTCCTGGCTACATATTGCAGTGTCAGCTAAAAACCCAGCCCTATCCTCCAGTAAAGTCTGCCCACCCAGCTTTACTCTTGTCCCAGCCCTGCTAGCCTCCCTCCCTCAGAGCTGTCTGGGGAGAGAAGAGCGAGCGGAGACGCCGCACTGGCCCAGATGGCTGGCGGCTAACCAACTGCAGCCAAAGGTAATCGGAGGCAGATGGGAAACCTTTTGGTGACGAGAGCAGGGGGAACAAGTTGCCTCCTGCAAAAAAAAGAAAAGGAGGAGGGAAAAAAAGCCAAGTGCAGAATCTGAAGGCAATGAGAGAGGGAAAGAGAGGGGAGTGTAAGCTATTCAAGCCAGCTGGGAGAGCCATTCTTGAGTGTTAATACTCTAAACTGAGTGTGGAGGAGATGAAAGGGCCCCTAATGTGGCTCTTGCTTAATTTCACACAGCGACGGGCAGGTACAGTTCAAAACTAAAAAGAAAGAAAGAAAGCTTGCTTTAAAAACAATGAGGGGTCTTTGTGCTGTTGCAACTTCCCTCATATATGGAACAACTAAAAGTCTTTCTCCCCTCCCTCCCTCCCTCCCTCCTCCGGCTTTCTCCCAGTCATTTCCTGCGCGAGCCAAGCTCCCTTTCCATTTTCATTACTTGTTTCTGCACAGCTCTCGATTTATTGTGGGCTTATTAGACTTGCTATCAAGTGCTTTTCATGACCACTACATCTCCTCTTGTTTACTTAAGCCAGAGAAAGAGAGGAGAGATAGGACCCCCCCCCCCCCCAACACACACACAAACTAGTGCTATTCAAATACAGCTGCTAAGAAAGATTTGTGGACAGGCTTCACACACACCACAACACGCATGCACCGCCGCGCACACAGCTCTTCTGGTAAATTATTGCTACTCTGGAAATGCGGCTAAATTAAGAGAGAGCTGTCTCGCAGAGGTGACGGCGTTGTACATCTTCCCCGGCCTGTTGTGCAAAGCTTTCCCTCTGGGCTGTATCACTTGTACGAAATAAAAAGCGTATGTTTGTCAGGAGGCCAGGCCGAGGCGAGCGCGCGCGCGCACGGACTCTCCGGGGTCTGGGTTTTGCTTGGATGGATATCGACCGTATAGCTCTACAATCGCGGCCAAAAAAAGAAAAGGGAAAGGAAAGGGGAGGGGGCTCCGAGCCGGGCCACACAGCTTCCAGGGCTATCAGAGCTTTGCAGAGGAGAAAAGAAAGGGGTCGTTGTTACCAAGAGAGAAAGGAGTTGGAGCGCACGGGATAATTAGGTGGGAATTTAAGGGTGGGCCAAAATACTCAAGTGTAATCAAGTCAGTGGACCCTGAGGCATATTGACACGTCACTTCTATTTTTTTATAATCTGATCATCTACTGAACACTGACTGGTGCTTTTTTATAACTGTGTTTAACAGGATGGATATTCCTTTTTCATACTGCAGCCTAACTATGCTGTCCTTGTGTCTAACCGCTGCCAGGGAGAGTGCAGCTATCCGAAAACTAGCACGCTAATCAAAACCATATGACCGGTCTGTGTCGACCGCACAGATGCTAAGTGTCCCTCAGCTCAGCTTCAAGTCTGGGACAGCACCCCCACCACTGCCACTACTCTCAATATATATATATATAGTCTCCACTTTGGTCAGCAGAGAGCACACGAATCAGCTTTAGGTTGAGTTTATTATTTCATGTAACTGCACGCCACAGTTTCTCTGTCCAAATGAGACCGTGAGGGAGCGAATCGCGCACATCAGCGTCCGTCAGCCTCAGCATCAACTGCGCACTCCTTGAATAAATAAAAATAAGTCATGATCACCATCAACATGAAGCCTGGACAGGTGACAGAGAGGGTGGAATCATATCTCAGATTAAAATCTCTGGTAAAAATAAATAAATAAATAAGGCAGAAGAAGGAGAAAAGTGCAGGCATTCCTTTCTCTGTTTCCCCAAATAAACAGTGTGCAGATGAAAAGTGGGAACATAAACAGGCCGGAGAACCTCGGATGTGCTCCCCTCACTGAAAATGTCCCTCTCTAAGTCTGAAACAATATTTAGTGAGAGAGAGAGAGCTGACTCGACACGGAGTGAGTGAACCAGCGCAGCACAGATGGCAGAGGAGGCTTTTCTCTTTCTGTCTTTTATCTGGTTTACGACTGACAACAATCCAAAAAACACCAAAAATATTCATTACGACAGGCAAAGCCTTACATTTGCTGGAATCTTTAATGTTCAGCGTTAAAATGATTGCAGAGCTGAACTGACAGAGGCTTGCCTGTCAGTTCAGCTCTGCAATCAAGAAAAGAAGAAAGAAAGAAATTGAAAAAATGTGCAGGTTACAGAAAAGCTGTGCAGTTCTGGGAGGCACCGACCTGACCCAGGACAAATAAAGTAAATTTGCTGTCCTAATAGAGGCAGCAGCCAATTTAAGGTTACTATGAAGTTGAATGAGTGCTACCAAAAAAGGAGAAGGAGGAGATTTAAACACAAAAGCATCACATGTGGATGTGAAGAAAAGGAGAAGTGTGCGTAATCTGGTAAAACTACACATCCACGTTGCGTTTTTTATGGGAGCAAAATAAAAAACTAAAACTGTATCTGTGTGTGCTAAAGAATATTTCTGCAAAATAATAATAATGATAAAAATGTTGCACGGTGATCAGGAAACCTGCACATCTGTCATTCGTGCTGTTTGGACGTGCATGTGCTGATATGTCACACAGCCAATGATTCCACATCTGTGTCTCTAAACCTGTGCTCGCCCCTCTGTTTATCATAATGTTACATATAGTCTAAATATAGTACACTAGCAACAGTCTAAATGTTTTCCGTGATAACACTTTAGCAACTTTAGAAACGGGCTGCAGATTTAGTGCGCTTTGGAGCAACTGCGAGTAGCGCCCCCAGCCGGCGAACGACACAACGCCACCATTCACCAGGTACCTGATGTCCGCTGACAGCCACATCATCCCTTCAGCAACACGCAGACACAAACACAGACACACAAACACAGACGCACACCGTCTTGTCATCAGCTAACAAGGAGACCCCAGCGCTAATAAGTAAGAACTCCGAAGAAGAAGAGAAGCAACTCACGGACTCGAGGTTTTAGGAATAGTACAAATCCCCTAAGACAGCGTGAGGCTCACGTCCACAGAGGTGCACCTAATGATCTCATGACAGCAAGAGCCTCACTAAATATGGGCGACATGCAGTGTTTCTGCAGGAAGGAGCGGACAAGAGCTTAGAAGAGCCAGCATCATGCCAGGGCAGTGCCTTTCCTTCTTACAGAGCTGTGCATGAGAGAGAGTGGAGCCGAGCTCGGTGACCTACCTTCCCGTGTCCCCGTGCAGAAGTTTCCGATGTGAGTCTGTCCTCAGCAGCCGAGCGGAGAGGAGGCGGTGCCGGCAGGAGACTGAGGAGACTCAACTTCTTCCACTTCCACAAGCGGAGAGAAGGAGTCTGGTGTCAATTTCCCCCGTGGTAAAAATAGAAGCGTCCGGGAGCAAAAATTTCAAAATAAAGTTTGTCTTGGCAGGACTCCACAGTTGGCAAGGGGCCGATGAGAAATACAGAGCTGTGGCCAAGATAGCTGATGTTGGTCTAAGACCTTTACGCAACTTTGTATCACGCATACCTGTAACCCGTGAACACTGTGCATAAAAATGTGGTTGGTCAGTTTGTGTTTTCTTTGCGCATGACAGACCTGACACTGAGTCCAGTAAAACAGCTTAAATAGTGGCTCAAGCTCGAACTGTTTTAGAAGCAGAAGCAGAAGGCGTCTAGTCCTTCTCACTGAGCATACTGTTTGGCTGTTTTCGGACCGGAAATCCTATAAAATGCTTTAAATAAATAAATAAATCCTGCAGATTACACCACTTCGTGGAAATCTGGCCCTGCTCAGCTCGATATAAAAAGAAGTCTGACAGGTCTAAGCTCAAATAAATCCTATTTTTTGCGAGTTCTTGAGCGCCACAATCTAACTTTGACCTCTGAAAAGCACAACTCGATTAGGAGCCTGTGCTTTCCACACTTTGTTTCAAGGAGCTCTTGTTGTGGTGACTTTTAAGAGGTCATTCTTGGGGCGAATTACCCACACCTGCTTTGGGGGTTCAACCTGGTGATCAGTTCTACAACTTCAGTCTGAATTCGACCAAATTAAACTGACTTCTTGCTCCGATTAGGACATGGCTGAAACTTCCTACCTGTAAAATGCATGCTTTTATTTTGTAGGAAAACATTTTCCTCTGTGGTTTCGTTTTGTCTGTTTTTGCAGGACTGGATTCAGCGGGATCCTGCTGACTCGGTGCCAGATCTGCAACTCCAAAGAAGCAGCTGCAGCCGCTGCAGAGGTGGGGGTTGAGTGTGTGTGGGGTTTGCTATCCCTGCTGTTGGTTTGGTGCTGTGGGTATCGCACAGGTGCTGGAGTGGAGAGTAGATGTCTGTTATGTCATGATGGCAATTCTCCCTCAACACAGTATCCTGGCTACACCACAAGTTCTGTAACTTAGACGTGTACATGTATCTATACGTGTAACGAAGCGCAAGTTTGGGCTTAAATTGTCAGAAATAAATGTGTGAAATTACATAAAAAGTGCTCCAGGTCATTGCCCAGACTGTCCTGTGATTATAAAACAGGTTTTTGTTAATTCACAGAAATATCCTGGGGATTTTTTTTTAAAATCTATTATGAAAAACATAAATTTCTAGAGAAGACGGTTAAAAAAGTTAAATATCTGTCATTTAATTGTTTAGTCACAAGTTAATTACTTTAGTAAATGGGTTTGGGGTCTTTATCAGTAGGAAATGCTGTAAAACCTATAAGAATTCAGCTAAAAGACCAAAATTTATCCCAGAAGTCTCCAGCAGTTACCTCGGTTGCCTAGCAACCACTCACAGTAAAAACCTCAAAGCTTCCTGTAAAATATCAAATTAACGCTTTTACACATTTAAATTTTTTTTTACATGTGTAGAAATTAAACAAAGAATGTAACATGAATGTGCTTTTGGATGTTACACCAGCTACATATTTCCCTCCCTCTAGTCTTTTTGCTGCTAAGATACAACGCTTTGAAAAAGTATTTGCCCCCTTCCCGATTTCTTTTGCTCCCTTTTGGTATATTTGTCACACTTACATGTTTCACATCATCAAACTAATTGTAATATTAGAGAAAAATAACCAGAGTAAATACAAAACAAATACTCCAACCCTACCCGGCCGTACGTGAAAAGTCATCGCCCCCTAAATCTGACAGCTGGAAGAACTGCAGTCAAGTGTTTGTGATAACTGACAATCAGTCTTTTACATCACTGTGGAGGAATTCTTCGCCAAATCTTCTTTGTAGAATTGTTTGAATTCAGCCACATTAGAGGATTTTAAAACACGAAAAGCTTGTTTAAGTTCATGCCAACACATCTCAATTGGATTTGAGTCCAGACTTTGACTAGGCCTCTCCAAAACCTCTTTTGCTTTAGTCACTCAGAGGTAGACTTATGATGTGTTTCGGATCACTGACCTGCTGCATAACCCGAGTGATGGCTGGACATCCTCCAGCAGACAGCAGAATCCAGGTTCCATCAATTACAGCAAGTCGCCCTGAAGCAGCAAAGCAACCCGAGACCATCACACTACCACAGCCACCCCAAAAACCGCTTTTTGTATTTACTCTGGTTATTTTTGTCTCTATTTAAGTGTCACAAATATGCCAAAAAACTAAGAAATCAGGAAGGGGTTACTGTTACCCTAGCTATGACTTAACCTTTTAACCTTTAATGTATTTTATAATTTTAACAATTCATCTAAAAGACTATCGATATAAAGTGTTTTGTATATATTGTAAACATATGTACACAAACATATGTATGTTCATTTTGGACAGCACCTGGCCAGCTGTCTTTTCTGCTGTCTCCACTCTTTATATTTAAATCCTATCAATTCATGGGACAGTGCCAGCTGACTGCACGTGTTCAGCTGTCATGTGAGAATGTGAAATGCAAAAACAGATAAACAGACGGAGCATTGCGCCGTAAACAAGGGGAAACTCATGATGGTCAAATGTCATCTATCTACAGGTGCTGAAAAATAGGTCAGCGCCTTGTGTAAAACCACCACTTGCTATTTTACAGCTTTTGCATGGCTGACTTTGTATAAATAAATAGGATGATTGCAACATGAAGAGAAGACTGCTCGAAGAACGAGGCCATCATTTTAATAATTAGGCATCCTTAGATGTAGGTTTAGGGCAAGAGGTGCAAAGGCCTACTCAGACCACCACGAGCATGAAGCGGCAGACGGTCGGTGACTAACACCAGCCTGGGGCAGTTAGGCTGATGGTGGTGCAGAAGTGCGGAAGACAAAGAAGATCGAGCATGCAAATTTTTGACCTTTAACATGTAAGATGTTACTTTGTTTATTCTATGGACAGAGGAATCTCTTTCCCTTTGTTCATGGGCTAAGTAAGTGCATCCTGACTCGAGTTCAACCAGCAGACCAAATCGTTTTCATCTCGAAAGCAAAAAAGAGGAACTCCCCAATAATGCTGGTTTATTCTTCTAATATTAATTCACTGTTTCGCATATTCAGACATGGCACTGTACAGATTGTAATACATCAGCTGGGATTTAACTTAACTGAGAGGCTCACTGGTGACAGTCAAACTGAAATCAGCCCTCCACGCATGCCATTTGCCGTTTTGCCTGTGTGTGGGTTTGTGTGTGTGTATGTGAGTGTGTGTCATTGTCTCTAAACCCTCGCGTCTTCACAGCACCTTACATTTCTGTCAGATCAACAGATATATCTTTGCCTCTGAAGCAACAACACCGCTCTGCGTCTGCCTGGAACAACAGTGCTCTGTAAGTTTTTTTTATATCTGATTATGTAACAACAGACTATTGGTTAAACTGGTTAGTTACACTTATGTATATACTTGTGTCTTGTGTGGAAAAACACAACAGCCCAGTAAGGTGGGTGAAAGTAAGACGACCTGAAGTCTGAGCCTGAGAAGTTGCTGTAATGCAGTTATACAGACAAAAAGCTGCAAAGGAGTTTGAACTCGATGTGCTCGAGAATTCACATATTTGAGTAAACGTTGATTTAATAGCAACATGAGGCCATGAAACACGTGAAAATGTAGTTTAGCTATTCATTTACAAAGTTTTTGATGACTTCAGTCCAACAAGATCTAATCGATCAGTTAAATTTAATTCCAACTGAGGTTTGTTTTATATTCACAACTATATAGAAACAGTCAAAAAAAAGGAGAATAAAAGAGTGCGTGCACCGCAGTCGGCCGCGGCATTGTTGCTCTGGCTCAGAAAAGCAGTCATTACATGCTCAAAACATAAATAGCTGCTTTCATTGCGACTTGGAATAGAAAACCAAAAAAAAATGGTGTAGGTTTTAAGACACCCAAGAGGTCCGTGTGTGTCTGTGATCCCTTGTAACTGTTCTTAAAATGACTGGATGTATTTTGGGTGCTGCACTGAGGCATATCTGCTACATGTGTCGGCCACAGTCGGACAGAATCGGTTTGGACGAGCAGAAGATGAATTTTTACGTGCAGAACGGGCTCTGTTTAACTCACAGTGTGATATTCAGAGTTTTAGCATAGTTTATTTTTAGATAAAGACACGGTTGACACAAACACTCATTATAGTGAACAGAAATCAAAGTAGAGTTATTGTTAAGAGGAATATAAATCTCTCTTTGAATGCTAATGAATCCTACCTGAGGTAGGCCTGAACAGTTAATGTGATTTAATCACATCTTGTCAGGTTATTTCCCAGGTGCTGTACAGACTTTGGAAAACATAAAGCAGATAACAGGATCTAACAACAGCTTTTTTCCACTGATTCAGGAAATAATGATTCACTTTGGGGCATTTGGGCTCCTGATTTCAGATGCACTTTCTTATCCAACTCCACCTACACACTTCGAACGCTCGCTCAGTTTTGTTGGAAAAATAATTTCATATGTGACAGTTAAAGGGCACATTGTCTGTTTTGAGGTGCCTACACAGTCTCGCGCATTGATGTATGTACAGAGAAATGCTTCGAGTTGCACAGCCATGAGCTAACTTCCTGATATCACAAAGAAAATAATCATGACCTAAAAACTCTAAATAGTTATCACTGCTATGCTCTTGATTTAATATCAGTGGGTAATCTACAGAAAACAGAGAGGCACATCGACTGTCTGAGCTCACGCTGGTGCGTTCGTGCGTGATAAGGACCAACACTGTTCTGGTGATTTGCTTTTTGTCATGTTGTTCTCAGCAGCCAGTTAAGCAGCTATTTGACTGATCGCTATTTACACCAAGCACGTCTTGTCGGGTTCCCCACTTCAACACTGTGACTGTGCCCACATATTAATAATATTTCTGCTGTTTAAATGAGCCGAGGAGGAGTTTACACTCAGTAAC